TCATTGAGCTGATGACCTACAGAGAAAAATGCAGGTGATTAAAAAGCTTTGGTGGCACTCCCGATTGCTGAGAAACTCTTTATTTCACAAATAACCCTGAGCTATATTCACTACAAAATGTTATTTATCACAGTCCTTTCCTTCATAATTTTTATTAGTGCATTCCCAAGTGTGCAAGTCTCTCAATGCTGGCAGATGTTCCTCATACAATAACAATTTTGTGGTTCAAAAAAGTTAATTACCTTGACTCCCTTTCACTCTGGAATTCGGATGTTAATTGTACGCAGGTTATTCATGGTATGGCAATGAAATTATTTTTCCACATCTTCTACTATAGACTTGTACTTTATAGGTCCTCAAAAATGCTTGTTGTACAAATAAATAAACTAATACAATTACATTAACTGTTTAAGTGAAATAAATCTATCCCCCAAACAAATAATCTAAGAGGTAATAATAGTGTATGGTTTCCTGCCAATAATCCATTACTTTTTTTTTTTTTTTTTAGAATATGACTGGTACGGGGATCCCAACCCTAGACCTGGTGGTGTCAGCACCACGCTCTCCCAAGTGAGCAGCCGGCCATCCCTGTATAAGGATCCGAACCCGTGGCCTTGGTGTTATCAGCATCACACTCTACCAAATGAGCCACGGGCCCATCCCATCCATTACTTTGAAGCATGCCCCAAATTAGACTCAAGATATGAATGGGTAGCAATAATCAATTTACCCTCTATTATGTTAAAGGCAAACTTCCCTCTCCCTTCAACAACAAACATGCCTTAGATAGACTCTAATTTTCTTATCTGGTAGAATTCCTAATCTTTTACTAATTACCACAAAAAGAATGAACCTTCACCTGTATCTCATACCATATGCAAAAATTAACACTAAACGAATCATAAGTCTAAATACAGAACCTAAAACTTTTAAACTTCTGAAGAAAACACAGGAGAAAATCTTTGTGACTTCGGATTAGGTGAGGATTTCTAAGGTATGATCCAAAAGGAAAAGTCCATGGCAAAATGTGATATACTGAAAGTCATCTGTTGGGAAAATAGAATAGTTTGGTCAGGGCCCTTGCCTTAGGTCCAGTTGGGTGTGGTTTTAGCACATCCTTTGTAAGCAAATTGTGTGTGTGTGTGTGTGTGTGTGTGTAGTTAGTGTGCATGCATGCACACCAATGTATCTTTTTAGTTTTGTTGCTATTCTTGTGTTTTTCAGAGAGAGAGAGAGTAGAGAGGAGTTTGGTGAAGCAGGCAGGTGGGCATTGGCCTCGGGCATCCACCCTGTGCAGCCATGCTTTCCAACCTATGGGTCCAAGGACCGTTTGGCTGGTTACCTAGCTCACAGACCTGCATGAAGGGGTCTGGTGACCCAGCCTTGCGTGTGAAGGGTCTGGTGACCCAGCCTGGCATGTGAAGGGTTTGCGACCCAGTATGTGAACAGGCTTGAAGGATCTTGGACTCCAGACCCAGCCTTAGCTCGACAATCGGCCCAGTTGGTGCAGGATGACCAGCAGGTAAAAGAGCACCACAACTAGCATAGTCGTGGTCAAGTGGCTTTACATCATCAAAAATTAAAAGCTTCTGTTTTTAGAAAGATATTGTTAAGAAAGTGATAAAAGATGAGTCACCAACTGGAAGAAAATATTTGTAAAATACATATTGGATAAAGGCCTGCCTGTATTCAGAATATGTACAACTACAATGAGACAGGTTTCAGGTACCTAATTAACAAACAGTATAAGCAAATTATAATACCCAGTGCTGATGATCAGTAATAAAATGGACATATTTATGCACTAGAAAAAAAAATAGGCATTACATATCTGGAAGGTGATTTGGAAATACACATCAAGAATCTTATAAAAATAATTCTCAAGAAGGCCATTCTTAGAACTTATCTCAAGTATATAATTAGAGATGAACAAGAATGTTCAGGACAAATATTATTTATTATAGCAAAAAAAAAAAAGTAAACAACCTAAATTTCCAGCTGTATGTAAATGCCTTCATACAATGTTAGAAAGATATTGTTAAGAAAGTGATAAAAGACGAGTCACCAACTGGAAGAAAATATTTGTAAAATACATATTGGATAAAGGCCTGCCTGTATTCAGAATATGTACAACTACAATGAGACAGGTTTCAGGTACCTAATTAACCAACAGTATAAGCAAATTATAATACCCAGTGCTGATGATCAGTAATAAAATGGACATATTTATGCACTAGAAAAAAAATAGGCATAACATATCTGGAAGGTAATTTGGAAATACACATCAAGAATCTTATAAAAATAATTCTCAAGAAGGCCATTCTTAGAACTTATCTCAAGTATATAATTAGAGATGAACGAGAATGTTCAGGACAAATATTATTTATTAGCAAAAAAAAAAAAGTAAACAACCTAAATTTCCAGCTGTATGTAAATGCCTTCATACAATGTAGAACTGGATCTAGACTATTTATGAAGTCACTAAAAATCACATTTCAAAAATAGTTAATGAAATGAAAATGTTCATATGTTAAGTGAAAAAAGAATAAAAAATAATTGGTATGATTCCAATTTGGTATAAACACTATATAAGTTTGCATATACAGAAAATAAGACCAGGAGGAAATATACCAACATGTAGAGGACATGTTGAAAGCAAGGGTTCTCAGGAGAGCCAGATCACTAGAGGGAGAGAGTGGGTGGAAATTTAAGAGACATGAAGGTGGATTTTACCTGGGTCTTTTTGAGAAAGGGTAGAAATTTGAGATGAGACTCAAGAAAGAAAATATGCAAAGATCCAAGGCAGCAAAGCCTATGGTAATGAAGGTACAAAATAATTGTTTGTTGATAATTATCATAATGATTGTGATGAAGGAAAGAAGAAATATCTGTCTGGTGTGATGCCAGAGCAGAGAAATATAATACTGCAAAATTTTCTCCTCTAGAAAATGGGGAGCCTTTAAATATTTTTGAATAGGGAAACAGGCCCATAAAAATGGTATTTGGTAGGTTTAATCTAGCAGTGATGTGTAGGAGAATACAGAGAAATATAATACTGCAAAATTTTCTCCTCTAGAAAATGGGGAGCCTTTAAATATTTTTGAATACAGAAACAGGCCCATAAAAATGGTATTTGGTAGGTTTAATCTAGCAGTGATGTGTAGGAGAATACACACACACACACAAGCTTGAATTGAATGAGGTTAGTGCACCTGTTCCAGGCATGTGGTGATCTCGGCCTGAGCTGGGGAGGTGGCAGAAGGAATGGAAATCCTTAGTTAACTTACAGTTCCTCTGAAGTTAAGCAGGCTAGACTTAACTCCCTTTTATAAAGCAGGAAAACAGAGCAAAGGGAGCTAAAGTGCTTCATGTCAATAGGATTTTCCACTGTCACCTTTACAAGAAGCCCTAAGATTGAACAAAACAATTATTGCTTTCTTCCTCAGATTCTATTTCTTCATTACAGAGCCTATTTCATGCTCTCTCTTCTATAATGATGGTTACATGTACACATTCAAAACTGTACATTATCTTTAGTTATATGTTAAAAATAGACTATTGTATTCAGCTTGCCCTGTGAACCTAGTCCCACGCGTGGGATAGTCACAAGCTCCATTATCTACTACAGACCCATAAAGGAGATAGAAACTAAAGTTTGACCCTAAGCATCTCTGAATGGAGCACATGGTGTTCAGTTACTTCACTCTCAGTAGAGAACATCCGTGGTGTTCTTCAAACTTCAGCTATAATAATTAAAAAAAATTTTTTAATAATGATTTTTTTCTACCCATTAAAAAAATCACCCTGAAGCCATTCTTGGTATTAGATCTAGGGCATACTTTCCCTGGCAAATACTCTGAGACCATCTCAGAAGGGATGAAAGGCCAGCAAGGGGTGGAGGTGTGTGTTTTTTCCATCCTTCTTACTGCCCTTTTGAGCCCAGGCTTTCAGGAAGGAAGGGTGGGATTTAAAAAGACCTGGCTCTCAAAGCTCAGGAAGGGAGGAAGGTCTAGCTGGCTTCTTGGTAACTCAGCTTCTCCATTTACGGGAAGCAGAGCCAATGGTGAGATGAATCCTAGCTCTGTGCTGCTGCTGAAAGGGGACAGGCCCATTTACAAAGATGTTCTTGTTGCATTTAAATGATCATATTCTTCCATCGTAGATGAGCTAGGTACTGGGCTGCATGAGAGGATGAAGTGCACCGAATCACAGAACCATTTCATACTGCTGTTTTCTTTTGGGGAGGGGATAGAGGTGAATACTAAACACACTTTGTAAATGTTTTAGCGTTTACTTTGGC